ACGGTCTTAGACAAACAATGCATCAACGCGTATGGGTAGAGGCAAGGACAGAGCATTTGTTATCAACAGTGTACGGACTAGACCAGGCTATGTCAAAAGGCGAACGCAGTAACTTACCAACTCTCCCCACTGCTAAAACACCCAAGCATCACTATGGCACTAAAACGACAACTGATAAATTGCATGTTTATACCAACCCTCTGCTACCAATGCCAAACCTGGTCCCTAACAAGAGCACAGGAGAAAAAGATTACGACGTGCGAAATGAGATGCTTACGTAAGGCTGCCAATGTCACAAGGAGAGACAGAGTTCGAAACGAGAACATTAGAGCAATTGTAGGAACCACACCATGCCTGCAATACATAAAGAAGCAACAAATAGAGTGGTTTGGCCACTTGATGCGAATGCAAACCGACCAACTGCCTCTACGAGCATACAACGAACAGCACTACTGCCCTAGAGCAAGAGGCAGACCGAGAGTACGATGGATAGACAATATATCAGAGATCCTGAGGCAACACGGACTAACAACACGTGCAACACACCTGGCCCAGGATAGAAAACTGCGACTCCCCACTACGCTGTGAGGCAATTGTGGACAAGACAAGACAAGACGGACTAGGCTAATCGATAATGACACATATCTGACACTAACACGATTGTGTGACATGGGAGTAAAGCCTGGTGAAGCACGTCAATGACACCTAGCATCGGAGGACTGAGCCCGGAGTAGGTTACTGGATAATGACACATATCTGACACTAAGACGATTGTGTGACCTGGGAGTAAAGCACGGCGAAACACGCTTAAACTGCCTTCAAGGCCAAGACAGGAGACATTATAACCAGCTTCTCTGGCAACAGTCGGTAGAGGTGCCTTGGAGTGGCTGCTGCATCGAAGGACTGAGCATCCATGGAAATGTACAATGTGAAGTACGTCGATTCCGATCAATCAATCAATCAATCAATTGATCAATCTGGTACAATCTCCACAATGTAGGTTGGCTGCAGTGGATCTCCTTCCTTGGTTGTACAGTCTATCAGACTTCTATTCTTCCATCTTTTGATGTTGTGCTCCCACTTGTAACGTTGTCTACCCCTTACCCTTTACCTTTCCCTCCATTATGGTTTTCAAAAATCATATTATGTTTTTTTATGTGGCCAAAGTATTTCTGCTTTCTCTCTCTCTCTCTCTCTCTCTCTCTCTCTCTCTCTCTCTCTCTCTCTCTCTCTCTCTATCTATCTCTCTCTCTCTCTCTCTCTCTCTCTCTCTCTCTCTCTCTCTCTCTCTCTATTTCTTTCTCTCATTTTTTTCAGTAATTCCATTTTCATTCACATTCTTTCCAAAGCCTGCTGTGAAACAATTGTGATAACATAACACATTTCACGTCTTATCTCACTCCCCCGTGCCCCCCCCCCCTCCCCTTCCCGTCCGCCCCGATTGTTATTGTCTCTTTCGGTATCATTATTTCAAAGTAAAATATTCCAGTATCGCAGAGTAATGTGTTTTGTGGGACCCGGGTGTTATCGATCCACCCGCTGACAGTTGGCTGTGTGTATCCGTTCGCCGAGGGCTTTCACACGGCCACGGAAAGCTCAGCCCTTTTGTTTTCTAGTGAATCTGCTTCGTGGCAGGTATTCGAAACTGCTTTGGAATCGGTAGTTAGAGGTTGCCTCGTGTTGAAAATATTTCGCATTCTATCTTGTAAACTGATGGATTCACTTCGGCTTTGTTGTTATTCGTGTTATTGCAGTGTTGAGAATTTGTTGCAGTACTGTACTGCTGTGTCAGGATAGCGGTTTGTGATTTTGCATGGAAGCATATATATATTTTTACAGATAGTTGTTGAATGCGAATTCTTATGTATACTTGTTATACGTGTATGTAACTCCGTATACCTAGGCTTATATGTGATAAAAGTCAGAAATACATGCTACAATATGTTACAGTAGCTAGCGGATGTGATGTCTCATAAATTCCTGCTACAGTATATGTGATTTATTATAGGTTCTTGCTGCAGTATATGTGATTTCTCATAGGTTCTTGCTGCAGTATATATGATTTCTCATAAGTTCTTGCTGCAGTATATGTAATTTCTCATAGGTTCTTGCTGCAGTATATATTATTTCTCATAGGTTCTTGCTGCAGTATATATGATTTTTCATAGGTTCTTGCTGCATTATATATGATTTCTCACAGGTTCTTGCTGCATTATATATGATTTCTCATGGGTTATTGCTGCAGAATATATGATTTCGCATGGGTTATTGCTGCAGAATATATGATTTCTCGTAGGTTCTTGCTGCAGTATATGTGCTTTCTCGTAGGTTCTTGCTGCAGAACAAGTGATTTCTCATAGGTTCTTGCTAAACTATATGTCACATCTTAAAGATTCTTGCCACACTATATGTCATTTCTCATGTATCCTTGCTACACTATATGTCATTTCTCATGTATTCTTGCTACACTATATGTCATTTCTCATAAAATCTTGCTAAACTATATGTCATTTCTCAAAGATTCTTGCTAAACTATATGTCGTTTCTCATAGATTCTTGCTACACTATATGTCATTTCTCATAGATTCTTGCTACACTATATGTCATTTCTCATAGAATCTTCCTACACTATATGTCATTTCTCATAGAATCGTGTTACACTATATGTCATTTCTCATAGCATCTTGCTACACTATATATCATTTCTCATAGATTCTTGCTAATCTATATGTAATTTCTCATAAATTCTTGCTAAACTATGTGTCATTTTTCATAGAATCTTGCGAAACTATATGTCATTTCTCATAGAATCTTGCTACACTTTATGTCATTTCTCATAGATTCTTGCTACACTATATGTCATTTCTCATAGAATCTTGCTAAACTACATGTCATTTCTCATAGATTCTTGCTAAACTATATGTCTTTCCTCATAGATTCTTGCTAAACTATATGTCATTTCTCGTCGAATCTTGCTAAACTATATGTCATTTCTCATAGAATCTTCCTACACTATATGTCATTTCTCATAAAATCGTGCTACACTATATGTCATTTCTCATAGAATCTTGCTACACTATATATCATTTCTTATAGATTCTTGCTAAACGATACGTCATTTCTCATAGATTATTGCTACACTATATATCATTTCTCATAGATTCTTGCTAAACTATATGTCATTTCTCATAGAATCTTGCTATACTATGTGTCACTTCTCATAGAATCTTGCTAAACTATATGTCATTTCTCATAGATTCTTGCTAAAGTATATGTCATGTCTCATAGAATCTTGCTACACTATATGTCATTTCTCATAGATTCTTGCTAAACTATATGTCATTTCTCATAGATTCTTGCTAAACTATATGTCAGTACCCATAGAATTTTGCTAAACTATACGTCATTTCTAATAGAAACTTGCTACACTCTATATCATTACTCATAGATTCATGCCACAGCTCTATGTGAGTTATCACAGATTATTGCTACAGCATATGTGTGTTTTCTTAGGTTTTTGCTACAGTAGATGTGCTTTCTCATAACTGCTTTCTTCAGCATTTGTGATTGTTCATAGATTCTTGCTATAGTATATGTAATTTCTCATAGATTCATGCTAGAGAATGTCTGATTTCTCACCGGTCATGTCGTATGTGATATCTTAGAGGTGTTTTCTAAATATAGGATTTCCCATAGATGCGTGCTATGTATGATTGCTTACAGATGTTGTTTATATGTGATTTCTAATGAATATGTTGCTACATGTGATTTCTCATAGATAGTTGCTACAGTATATGAGATACAACTTCGGTACTTCCTACAATGGATATCTTATAAACACTTGTTTTACGTAACCTTTCATAAATATGCTACATACATAAGTGATCTGTCACGTATATTTAATGTATGTGATATCTGCTAGTAGGCTGTGTGGCTAAGTCGACGTGAACGCTTCGTAATGTCGTGATGCCGGGTTTGATCCCATCTGCGGGCCATGCGCCTTGCGTTGGTTTCGACAGTAGTATTAAGAAAGCCCACCGTCCAGAAGAAAAGGCAAACTACTGGACGTAAATTTGCCTAGAAAAACCACACAATAGCCAGTGGCTATTGGGGCTGGTTCTGCAACGTCGTGTAACTAACCCTGATATCTGCTATCTATGATTTCCCATAGATCCTTGCTATTAGGTGAATAGTATTAAGACTCAATCAGTGCATAATGCAGCTAAAGAAGTGTCAGGCAAACAGTCGCTGAGATAGTGTATTGGCCAGAATGCTGACCTGCGGACCCGGGGGCTGTGTATTCGAGTATTGAATTTACATTACATTAAACCCCATTAGTATTGGTCTGTAGCTTAACTCTTTGGATATCATACTATACGATTTGGGGGCGGGGGGGGGGATGATGGGGTGGGTGGCGTGGGATGGGGTGGGGGCGGGGGGTTAATTCCAAAGATCGAAAGATGTTATGGAGGTCTTCTGTCACCGGCTAGTGTTACATTAACTCTTCTGTCACCGGCTAGTGTTGCATTACCTCTTCTGTAACCGGCTAGTGTTGCATTAACTCTTCTGTCACCGGCTAGTGTTGCAATAACCCTTCTGTCACCGGCTAGTGTTGCATTAACCCTTCTATCACCGGCTAGTGTTGCATTAACTCTTCTGTCACCGGCTAGTGTTGCAATAACTCTTCTATCACCGGCTAGTGTTGCATTAACTCTTCTGTCACTGGCTAGTGTTGCATTAACTCTTCTGTCACCGGCTAGTGTCGCATTAACTCTTCTGTCATCGGCTAGCGTTGCATTAACTCTTCTGTCACCGGCTAGTGTTGCATTAACTCTTCTGTCATTGGCTATTGTTGCATTAACCCTTCTGTCATCGGCTAGTGTTGCATTAACCCTTCTGTCACCGGCTAGTGTTGCATTAACTCTTCTGTCACCGGCTAGTGTTGCATTACCACTTCTACCACCGGCTAGTGTTGCATTACAACTTTTACCACTGGCTAGTGTTGCATTACCCTTCTGTCACCGGCTAGTGTTACATTACCTCTTCTGTCACCGGCTAGTGTTGCAATAACTCTTCTGTCACCGGCTAGTGTTACATTACCTCTTCTGTCACCGGCTAGTGTTGCAATAACTCTTCTGTCACCGGCTAGTGTTACATTACCTCTTCTGTCACCGGCTAGTGTTGCAATAACTCTTCTGTCACCGGATAGTGTTGCATTAACCCTTCTGCCACCGGCTAGTGTTGCATTAACCCTTCTGTCACCGGCTAGTGTTGCATTAACCCTTCTGTCACCGGCTAGTGTTGCAATAACTCTTCTGTCACCGGCTAGTGTTGCATTAACCCTTCTGTCACCGGCTAGTGTTGCAATAACTCTTCTGTCACCGGCTAGTGTTGCATTACCCTTCTGTCACCGGCTAGTGTTGTATTACCCTTCTGTCACCGGCTAGTGTTACATTACCTCTTCTGTAACTGGCTAGTGTTACATTACCTCTTCTGTCATCGGCTAGTGTTACATTAACCCTTCTGTCACGAGCTAGTGTACTTTACCCTTTCTGTCACTGGCTAGTGTAACATTACCTCTTCTATCACGGGCTAGTGTTACATTAATCCTTTTGTTACAGGATAGTGTTACATTAACTTCTTTGTCACCGGTTGGAGTTACATTAACCCTTCTGTAACAGGCTAGCGTTAGATTAACACTTGTGTCACTGGCTAATGTCACGTTAACCCTTCTATCACGGGCTAGTGTACATTAACCTTTCTGTCACTGGCTAGTGTTACATTAACTCTTCTGTCACCGGCTAGTGTTACATTAACTCTTCTGTTACAGGCTAGTGTTACATTTACCCTTCTGTCACCGGCTAGTGTTACAATAACCTTTTCGGAACTGCATTTTTAGTTTAACACTTTTACCCGAAATGACTGTGTTGAACTCCAGATGATATCATGGGAAGTAAAAGCGGTCGGCGTGATGATGACCATATCACCCGCCAAGTGTCGATTGGTCTATAAAATATAGGTCTTGCCCTATTCACCCAATACGACTGAAGGCGTGGAAGAGGGACCTTTTACTTTTACAAATACTTAAGATCGCCAGCTGGAAGGAAAAGGCCAGTCAGAGTGATGAATTTGGGTAGGTGATATCTGCAGCAGTTAACTTCCATGGCTCGCAAGGAAGAAGAAGAATATCATACCATGAGTTTTAAATAAAAAAAAACAAATGGGGCGGTTATCTTTAAACTGTCCTTATGACGTCATCGTGTTCGTCAGCTGGCGATGTCATGTGCTTACACTCTTGACATCCTTAATAACAATATTGACAGGTTACAAGACACTGGCCTTGTTAGTGTAATTCATATCCTACTTTGACGGTTTTATTTGAAACCTCCTTGTAATGATAAACGTGTGTGTGTGTATATATATATATATATATATATATATATATATATATATATATATATATATATATATATATATATATATGTAAAGTGAAGGACACATTTTCACACCATTAGGCGTATAGGGCATATAGGGCTAGACCTATATTTTATAGACCAATGGGCACAAGATGGGTGATGTGGTCAGAATCACACCGGCCGCCTTTGCTTCCAGGGACTGCACCCGGTACCCATTCAAGGCTGGGTCGACCTGAGAGCCAAGGTCATTTTGGAAAAAAAAAAGTCCGGCTCCGCCAGGGAGCGAACCCACGACCTTCTGATCCGCAGGCGAGCGTCCATATATATATATATATATATATATATATATATATATATATATATATATATAAAGACGCTCGCCTGCGGATATATATATATATATATATATATATATATATATATATATATATATACACACACACACACACACATATATATATATATATATATATACACACATGTATATTTTAAATGCTGAATTGCCACGCTTGTAAAGTCGAATAATCTGTGGATTCATTAAGCCAAATATCGATATCTTGCATATTTCTAAGTTAACCAGTGTTTTTAAAGGTTGAGCTGTCATAATGTGTAATTGAGCCGTATCTCAACATTCCGCTACAATGTGATGTTTATGAACTGTCCATTTAAGGCTATCGATTATCTCATATTTCTGTACAGCCTGCCTATAATGAAAGTCAATTAATCATTTTTTTTTTTTTTCGGTTACCGAAGCCATCACTAGATTATGTTAACCAAAGCAAGTGTGCACGCACTCGAATACACAGGCGCACAAACATGCGCATGCGCACTGTTGAATGAGATATATAGAGAGATATAGTATACATACATATGAATGTAAATTATCGTGACTTTTTTATTGGTATAGTCAGAATGGCAAGACGCGGAGACTGTAACTGCTAACTGTAACAAAGAAGATAAACATCAGCAACGTTACAATTGTCGGCTCTGTGGCTAAGTCTATGGGAACGCTTCGTAATGCCGGGGTGCCGGGTTCGATCCCAGCTGCGGGCCATGCGCCTTGCGTTGGTTTCGACAATGGTATCAAGAAAGCCGTCCGTCCAGAAAGCAATGACAAACTACTGGAAGTAAATTTACCTAGAAAAACCACAAAACAGCCAGGGGCTGTTGGGGTTGGTTCTGCAACGTCCTGTAAAGGACACGCAACTAACCTTCTTCAATAGTCAGAATGGCAAGACGCTGAGACGGTAACTGTGAACTGTAACGAAGAAGATAAAAACCAGAAACATTACAATTGCTATTAGTTCCTGGTAAGCGCACTAAACTGGAATTCGTGTTAACTGGGTTTTACTGCTTAATAATAACAAAAAATGACTGCAAAAAAGCTAAACTTTTTTTCCCCCTTTCAATGTCCTGTGTCCACCATTGTCACTAACCCCTTGAATAGGAAACACATGTCTAAATTTCTGTACATTACACCGTACCCACATCTTACCCGGCAGAGTTAAATTGTTTTCCCCACATATCATGTCGCTACATTTCAGTACCTTACTTGCTACTCATGGATTGTCAATTAAAATCCGTTAGTTGACAAGAATGGCATAGATTGTCAATAAAATCCGTTAGTTGACAAGGATGGCCTACCTCGTGTCTGTTTTTTTTATTATTGTGTCACACACAAAAATTATTGCTGACTCAACATTTCTGAGTGCATTATTAAGCATAATTATCTTGAACTAATGAATGCTGACAGTATTTTTCATGCAGATAAAAGTTTACTCGACAAATTTATGAAACATTTAGCTACAAAAGTATTTTAAAATTCTAATTAGACTGTATATTCAATACGGGTCTTAGTTAGTTGCCTATATTCTATTCTATATTCTTCAGAGAGCGTTGAACACCATCCCCAGCATTTTTGGGGTGACTGTTAATACTTTTTATTGGCAGTTTCTATACCCAGTAGTTTGCCATTGCCCATCATCATCACGCAACAATACGTGTCGTTTGGTCACCAGCTGGTATTGACTGTCTAATCAGCTCCCTCCAGCTTTGAGGGTCAGATGCAATCGTCTTCAGGGTTGCATGTATAAGGTCTGTCTAGTCAGTCTCGTTCCATGTCTTTCTTGGTCTGCCTCTGCACCTCTTCCCCACTGATGAGTTATGTAATATTGTTTGAGAGACCATTAGATCTTATTATATGACTGTACTATGTATAATTATATCATCTGTCATTACCATTTCACTGGATTATTATTCTCTTTATTCTTCTTCTTCTTCGCGTTCACCAGCTGTAAACTCTGGCGGAAAGTTCTGGACGTTCGTCCAACTCTGGACTGTAGCCCTGTTTCAGAACTTGAGTTTGCTTGTACATCCGTTTGACAGATCTGACTAATTTGTAAGCAGACTGTTGGTTCCTTGCCTCTCAGGCAGATGCACTCCGACTTTGAAGGAAGCTCCCAATTAGTCGACTCTTACGACATGCTTTTGGGTAGGCAGTGGGTCTATTCTTGTTTTCCCTATAACAGGGCCCCAGAACCCACACGGGGATTTTCTCTTCAAATAACATGAGTAGTATTGGTCCCCTTTTGCACGATGGATGCACAGGTATTCAGTATTAGAGTCCCTTCCAAAATTCTTCCCCTTAAATTTTAACAAATACATATATCTCGAAAACTTCTGTACAGACAATCACAAATTTTTGCATTTGGTCTTAGGTATTCCATGTCTTTGTCATTTCATAATTTACAATGACACAGCTGCTGCTGTTTCCTTGAAGCGGCATATTTATTTGATCTCTGTCAGACTAACAATGTGAGTATCTCTAAAAGAATCTCCAGTGACTGACACAAACTGTGTACTTTTTATGAGGCAAACAACAAACATGACAGCACATGACGTGTCCACTTCACTATTAAAAAGAAAAGCTCCCTAATTTTTCGCCCGGATTACCCCTAAAACGCGTGCAGTCTGTTGTTTGCCAACTTTCCCTAAAGCCATTTACTGTAAACATACTAATTGTATGCTTTGAATCAATGTTTGTTTTTCATTTTTCGTATACCAGGCATAAGGCAAAATGAAAACTATATGCCTGTTTGCACTTTCCTACAAGGACATGAGAATAAACAGATTAAATGCCGATTTATAAAACATTTACATTGAATTGTTAGAGTTACACGTTGAAGCCATTTACCGTAAACATACTAACTGTGTGTTTTAAATCAATGTCTGTTTTCTCGTATGCCATGAATAAGGCAAAATGAAATCTAGATTTTTGTTTACGTTTTCCTACAACGACATGAGTTTTGACAGGTTGCATGATGAATTTTCAAAATTTACATTGAATGGATACTTGAGTTTCCCATAGTCAAAGTTGGACACGGCTGTTGCAGCGGACTATAGAACCCTAATTGTTTCATTGACCAGTCGATTTAGGATGGATGATGCGCTTAACATTGAGCAGATCGCCTTTACTTTCCATATCTCCTTGTATTTATTTTAGGTAAAGTCGACACTGAAGCTGTAGGAAGTAATCACAATGACCATTGATGCGGGTCCTTGTGATGGTCTGTTGAAGAATTTACGACCTTGAGAGCATGAGGCAAACAACGTGACCACTTGGCAAAGGACATATACATGGAGAGATGGCACAGGATAAATTGATGATGATAATGAAGGGGATGATGACGATGAAGATGATGAACGCGTGAACTCCGAAACACCCGTTCAAATGCATAGCCGTAAAGCACGATTATATTGGGGCATCACAAAACAGTTAGGAAGCCACCTGCAGTCCAGTGTTAGTGGGTTGTGTGATGATGATGATGATGATGATGATGATGATGATGATGATGAAGATGATGACGATGCAGCCTCACTGTAATAAATTATCGGTGGTAAATTATAAAATAGTGTCAGTCATGTCACAAAAACTTCAATGTTTTTGACCTAAATGTCGCAGACGAGAAGAGCGTGACCCAAGAAGAAGAGAGAAAGTACAGACGTCCATTAAACCTTTAAGACCTGACCAT